CCTGCGTCCCACCACCCCAAAATCTGTGTAGCCATTGGGCACTCCATTAGGCAATGTTCTAGATCGGGCCTGCGTGGCGGGGATGACCTTCCGCAATATGAGAAGATAGGTGATAGGATCCCTCTCTGTTCCAGCCTTCCAGGTTGGCGCGGGATGCAATACTATATGGACTGGGTGTGGTACTATGTGGGGTGGGTGTGTACTATGTAGCACTTTTTGGTCTTTTTTTTTTTTTCAAAGCCCAGGGTGTCATAGAGGCCAAGGACCAGACCCACGGTGATTGCTGGCAGCGGCAGGGGCTGCGTGTAGTCGTGTGTGAGCTGCACGTGATTCTCTCCCCCAGGGTGTGCATAGTGCTATCACGTGGGATGCGTGTTGTACTATGCGAGCTTGGCATGGTGTCGGCTGTGTGCTCCCATGTTGGCTGGGTGTGGTACCATGTGGGTTGGGTGCATTTGCCCGAAGGTTTGGCATAACTATGTGGGCTTGGTGCAGTAGGTTGTGAGCTAGAGGGCTATCAACCATGCTATGTCTGTGATAGGGTGGCATGAGCCTCCCTTTTTTTTTCCTTTTTTTTTTTTTGGACCATTGCATGATTTTTATGCATGTTGGTTTTTGCTCCTCTAATAGTTCTGAGACAGCTCTCAGTTCAGTCATCTATGTACACCATAAGTGACGTTGAGCCCGGTTCCCAGGGGGCAAAAAAAAAAGAAGCCCGCACAGTGGCTTTTGTCTGACTGTCTCATGCTCATGTTTTTCTCAAACTCTCATCTATGTACTTCATAAGGGACGCTGAGCCCATTTCTCAGCATGTGAAGCTCCCTACGAATAGATTGGAGCCTGTTTAAAAAAAAAAAAAAAAAAAAAAAAAAACACAGAATCTAGAGAAGGTGTGAGAGTGCACCCTCCTTGCCCCGCAGTCATCACGGCAGTTGGAAAAAAAAACAAAGACGAAAAAAAAAAGCAGGAGCAACAATGCTATCATTGTGAAAGCAGCTGGATACAGAAGAACAGAATCTGGAGAACGTGTGAGACTGCACCCTCCTGGAGGGCGTTATGGCCCCATGTTTTTTTTTGCTGAGGCCCGTGTTTTTTTCGCCTGTTCAAAGACAGCCGCGACATACCTGCCGGAGTGATGTTTTTGCTCATTCCAAACACTTGTGACTTCAATGTACTTGCCCCTAATAATAATAAGGGGCAAGTACGTTTATGTAAGCGCGGGCAAACAGAACAGCCACCAAGTTCTGAAGGCAATGAAAGTACCGCAGCCGTGACAGAGACACAGGTGTCATAACTACAGGGGTGTGCTGTGGTGTCAGACGGGAAAGGGAAAAAGACAAAAGGGCGAACGGATCTATTTCACGCGCACGTGCCCATTCGAGTTCGGTGGCTATTTTTTTCACCCGTGCACGTTTTTTTTCGCCCGTTCAAGCCTTAAACCTGCCGCGTCCGTTAAGATGGGGTTGGATTTGACACCCCACGCACTTGTCCCCTTTTTTTTGTTTTTTTTGGTTGAACTTCGTATGCGGGAAAAACCTACTTAACGAGGTGATAAGAGCAGCCCCGATAGAGTATGGGATGTCGGGGGTGAGTTATGCTGCCGGCGACGCAACGGTTCATTAGAGGCGGGAAGGTTGCGCTAGCGCTAGCGCCCTGATGCCGGCGGACCAGTAAGGCCCAGTCCTCCCAGCAAGACTAGCGCCCGGGGAGAGGAGCTCCCCGGCTGCTGGGCCTGTGGCGCGCACCCGGCAGATGCGCGTGGCTCTTTCATTGGCCACGTGGCACCTGCTGTTGGTGTCGTGAAGGACCGTGACACGCGGGCAGGGGTAGCGCCAGCCGTGACAATGATGAGGACACGTATAAGAGCGCAGCTATCTGGGTTTGAGATGGAGCTGGTGAGGGAGATACAACATGGAGATACGCCCTTTCACACTGATGATGACATCTGTCATGGAGAGGATAATGGGCAAGATGAGGTGGATGTGGTCAATTACTTTGCAAATCTTTGCGCAGTCTACGTGGATGGGGTAAGCGGTGATGATGAGCAGGTTCAAGAAGACGTCGTCGGCTGCGAAACTGGCGGGATGTACTTTGCAACCATCAATTCGGTATGTGAGGAGTGTGAATTCGAAAGTGATTATCGGGGCGGGAATATGCCCTCGGTGATGTAGGTGGGTGGGAAGTGGAGTGGGGGCAGATCGCAACGGCGATAGCACCGGCGACGTTAACAGCACACACAAAAGCGATTGCAGTAAAGACAACAACAATAACAACTCTTGTTGCTGACGATGCCCCTCAGCCTCAGCAGGCCACTGAAAACAGGGAAGATGCTGCCCTTCATGAGGCGGGCGAGTGGGGGGGGGAGGTAGGGCTGACAGCTTCGATGGTGGAGATGGGAGAGAACGATGTCAGTGACAACAACAACAACAACAACAACAACAACAACAACAACAACAACACAACAACAACAACAACAACAACAACAACAACAACAACAACAACAACAACAACAACAAAGACAGCGGAAACAACAACATGGTTGAGATGGGAGAGAACGACGACAACGGCCTTCTGCCAGAGGTAGGGCTGATGACTACGGCTGAGATGGGCGAGATGGGAGAGAACGACGTCAGCAACAACAACAACAACGCGGGTGTGGGGGTGGGGGAGGTAGGGCTGATGACTACAGCTGAGATGGACGAGACGGGAGAGAATGACGTCAGCAACAGCAACAACAACAACAACAACAACAACAACAACAACAACGACAACAACAACAACAATGATGGTGGTAATAACGAGATGGTTGAGATGGGAGAGAACGATCACAACATCAACAACAACAGTAATAACAACAACAACGGTGAGCAGGGATGGGGGGCGAGGGGCGAGGAGGGTGAGAAGAATGACATTGACAACAACAACGACGGTGATAACAACAACAACAACAACAACAGCCATAGCAATAATAGCAACAAGAACAACAACAATCACGATAACGACGGCGGTGACAACCGAGGGAGCAGTGGGGCGGCGAGTGGGATTTGTGTATCCAAGCTCCCTATTAGCTTCATGAGAAAGATGTCGCCATTGGCAGAGTGGGGGGGATTCTGTAGCTTCTTGAGAAGGACAAAGTGGGGTTTGAGGTTGAAGGTAAGATTTACTGTTCCCCCCCACCCCTACCCGGTGTTTTCTTATGCTGATTGTCTCTGTTTTAGGCACCGGGCGGGGATAGGATAGATGACTTCCCAGCCAAGATTAGGGTTGATTGTCTCTCATTTCTCAACTCTTAATCATGATAGAATTGCTGAGGATAACGTTTTGTTGTTGCTAGTGAGAATATGACATCGTGATACATCATTGTATAGGGGATATATGCTTCAGGAGCATGAGGTCAATCCTTCCCCTGTTTAGGGAAGTAATCAATGCCTCTGTTCTATGCTGCTATGGTAGGGTAGGGGATAGGGTTTTCCCTTCAGGGGACATGCATTAATCGATGCATTGATCGATGAATGAAGACAGACATTTTGGGTGTTGTCTAATATGGATTGCTGTACATACACAGGCAGTGTCTGACTGTAGACGGTGTTGATCAGATGCATAGGACATAGTGTTACACCACTGATAGGGACGCTGGACCCGATTTCCAGCTGACATACATCACACCCTTGTAATGCACATCACATCTGGGTTAGATAGGATTGGGCTCGGCGCCAGACACTGTTGATCGCATCAATAGGGTCTCCCATCATCTGACATATAGTGTTTAACATGCATACATAGGTAGTCGGAGATATCTATATCTATGAATAGGGACGCTGGACCCGAATTCCAGCAGAGACATTCACATCATTGTACAGGGATGCTGGACCCGATTTCCAGCAGATTCATTCATATCATTGTACAGGGACGCTGGAGCTGATTTCCAGCAGGTGTAGCTCCCCACCAATAGATGGAGCCTTCAACACTGGGACCTACTTACGGCGGATGCTCTTATCACCTCCTTAAGTTTTCTCGTATACGAAGTTTCAAAAAAAAAAAAAAAAAAAAAAAAGAGCAGCCCCGATAAATAGGCCCCAGTGTCGAAGGCTCCATCTATTGGTGGGGAGCTGCACCTGCTGGAAATCGGCTCCAGCGTCCCTGTACAATGATGTGATGTGTATCAGCTGGAAATAGGGTCCAGCGTCCCTATACATTGATGTGTGGATATGTCCTACTATGCATCCAATACTGTCTGCATATGTTCGTCAATCAATATATGTCGCATGTAGGGAGAACCCTATCCACCTTATCTACCGTATCTCCATAACGAGCAGAGGCATTGAGCCCAATTCTATTGATCAAACCAAGACACGAAACCCTAACAATGATGTGATGTGTGTGAGCTGGAAATCCGGTCCAGCATCCCTATACAATGATGTGTGGAGATGTCATAGCGCACATTCAATCCAGTCTGTATGTATTCGTACCTCAACCTATATCTCCTAAAAGAGCAGAGGCATTGATTACTTCCCTGCGCAAGGGCAGCATTGACCTCCTGCCCATGAAGTATTATCCTAACAAAAAGCATCTTCATCGATCCCCCAACAAGGAAGTCAAACAAAAACTTGAAAGTTGAAACCCTAAACAACCCTAAACGACCTACCTCCCCTTGGGGGCAATCAGCACCCCTTCATGATTGGAAGTTGAGGGCCGGTCAACTCCAATCAATAAGGGGGGGATCATCTCGCTAACCCACACCTTTCCGATACCAAAGGAGAAACAGCGAGGCAGCTAGGAGACAATCCAACCAAGGAGGGGGGAATAGAGAGCTCCCACTCAGCTTCAAACCCTGACCTCCCTCCCACCGAGAGCCCATCCATACCTCGGCCACCTGTCGTAAGATAGGTATGGGTGCCGTCGTCGTTCTCACTGCCGTTGTTGTTGATGTTGTTATTGTCATCACTGTTGTTGCTGTTGTCAGTGTTGTTGTTGTTGATCTTGTTGCCACTGTTGTCACCGCTACTGCCACCACCGTTGTAGTTGTTAATGATGTTGATGATGACGTTTCCGTCATTTTTGTCATTGTTGTTGTCACTGTTGTAGTTAATGTCGTTGTTGTTGTTGTTGTTGTTGTTGTTGTTGTTGTTGTTGTTGTTGTTGTTGTTGTTGCCGTTGTTGTCCCTGTTGTCGCCATCACTGCCATCGCCGTTGTTGTTGTAGGTGAAGTGCGATCATTGTCCAATCGCCGATGACCATCGCTTCTGCCCATTGTCGCGAAGCCGCAGTCAAACAACTCCCCATCTCCCACTGTGTCATCGAGATGACCTAGAGGTAGCCCCCCATCTACCCCTGTATCATCCATCTCTAATCGATCCTCCATCCGGTTGCGCAGGTCATGTCCCTTCCGAAATAGAGCTTGGCAGACTCCCATCCGTGCCTCCACCCGTGTCCAATCAATATGGGCATCAAACCAGGGATCTGGCTCCTCCTCCAGCTCCCACAGGACATCCAACATTTCTTGAGTGCGGGCGTCCAACCACTCAACCAGTGTGATCGCCCCCCATCAACCACCAACCCCTTCTGCATCTGAGTCGACAAAACCCCCACTACCGCCTGTCGCTGCAGACATCCCATCTCCATGGAAGACAGCCAATCATCGGCCCCCCGCTGAAGCTCCACCACCGTCTCCATGACTTACCTAAAAGCTGCGCCGCTATTCCACGTAAGAATCCAATCACACACTCAGCCAGCGCTACCCCTATCCACGCATCGCGGCGCACTCACGGCGCCAATCAATAGGTGCCACGAGGCTATCAATTAGCCAAGTGCCCCTATGAGGCGCATGCACAGGCCCAACAACCCGGAGGACCACCTCCCAGGTACTAGTCGCACCGGGGCGACCGGGCCTTGCCGATCGGCCGGCTGCTGGGCGCTAGCACTAGCTCAGCCTTCCCCCTCTGCTGCCCCCCTGGTGGATGCTCCTATCAACCCACACACTTGTCCCCCACCCTAGCATAGCAGAGAGCAGTTGTCTCAGCACACGGGGCTGGTACAGGATATTTAGGGGGGAGGGAGAGGGCTATCTCATGGGGTACCTATAGGGCGGGTGGGTGTTCCATGGGATGAGGGGAGGGCATCGCTCCTCGGAGGACATCATGGTGGGCGGTGCGGTCCTTGGAGGGGGCGTGTGCAGAGTAGTAGTCTATCCTGAATTACGAGGACGGGAATGAGATTCGCGCGGTCTGCGCCTGTCTTTGGCTGGCGCAGGTGTGGACCCCTGTTCCTTTGTGCGGGTGGCAGGGTAGTACTGCTGACCAGGATAGATCGTGGCGTCCTGGTTTGGAGCAGAGGATGTAGCTTAGATAAGGTGTTCCTATGGAGCAGTAGATCTATACTACAACGGACATCAGCAGAGTTACAGTACACATCTAGGGCTTCGAACACAGAATGACCGGCATAATACAGGGGGGGGAACCCGAAGCTAGAGCATACAGATCAGTACAGCAGATAAAACAGACCTGCGTAGGCTACACAACACAATGCGGACCTACGCACAGAATGCATACAGGGCACAACCGCGATGGGTAAGGGGAAAGTGCTTAGAATAGGGCTCTCATAGGTTAGACCTTGGCCAGCAGTGGGCCATTAGACACTGCCCGGGGTAGCTTGGAAAATTAGGAAAATTTCAGCAGAAGGCACAAACCCTTGGAGAAGGGGGACACTCTTGGGTCTACTCACGGAACTGGAATAGATTCACGCCAAGCTCCCGAGGTACCCGTGCTTGAGCGAAAATGTCTCATTCGGGGCTGAAAGGGGGTTCCCAATCAGCATAACCGCTCTCTGGTCAGGTTACTCTAGTAAAAAGAGTGATGGTCCTCAACTGAGGTAGGATAGAGAGGAGCGGGGTTGCGCCAGGGAATATCGAGAGGTGGAAGGGTCGGGTCGCATGAGGAATCAAGGCCCAAACAAAAAAAACGAAAAAAAAAGAAAGTGGATTTGGCCTTAGCCCAGTTGCACAGGCATCAAATTTTGAGTAAGACACGCCACGGCATTCTCCTAATTGCGTATTTGGTCCCATCGCAGTAACATGGCAACTGGCACTGATTTGGTCCCAGTGCCGTAACATGGCAACTGGCACTGATTTTCTTTTCGGGGGCCCAGGGGGGGCGGCAAATTGGTCCCACTGCAGTAACATGGCAACTGGCACTGATTTTCTTTTCAGGGGGTCAAGGGGGGCGGGGAATTGGGCCCAGTGCAGTAACATGGCAACTGGCACTGATTTGGTCCTAGTGCAGTAACATGGCATCTGGCACTGATAGCTAGCTTTGAGAGACATATTTGGCAGTTCTCAGGGACTGAAGAGGCAACTTTGGCTTTTCCTTAAAAAAAAAAAAAAAAAAGCGGAGGGCGGGGATTGGTCCCAGTGCAGTAACATGGCAACTGGCACTGATTTGGTCCCAGTGCAGTAACATGGGAACTGGCACTGATTTTCTTTTGGCGGGGTCAGGGGTCGGGGGGGTCGGGGGGGGGGGGGAATTCCCTGTTCAACTGGAAATTGAACTGGGAACAGCAGCCAGGATCGAACTCCGCAGCCAGACAGAATCGAACTGGTAACCCCCGCCGTATAAGTCGGATGCCTTTACTGCTGCAACTGCGGCCTGTGTTCAGTGCTAAATCCATACCGACCATGACATTCAGCCCACCTCAGCACAGTTGCAGCAAGGACTTACAGTGGAGCTCGTGCGACAGGTCCACACAGACACCAACATCCAGGTGATCATCCCTGGCTGGTTACTTTTTTTTTTTTTTTTTTTTTTTTTTTTTTTTTTGAAACAACCCGAGCTAATGCTGGGAGTGCTGGTAAAAGCAGACACCACTAGCGCCGTCGGGGAGGCTCCATCTATTGGTGGGGAGCAGCACCTGCTGGAAAACGGGTCCAGCGTCCCTGTACAATGATTTGAATKTAATTTCTAGAGATCAGGTCACYCTRCCCTATGCTGCGATGTKTTGTTATGCTTAATTCCTGTGAATGCATGACAWYCTGTCTATGTGAWATGCTGGGAGATCTCTATCCTCTTTGATGATTTTTAGATGTCGTTGTGTATTCTATTTTGACAGGTCAGGTGGCGAAACCCTCCCATTCATTTAGCATATGTGAGCTGGCGATCACAGCCAGYGGCCTCATATCACRATGATGCTRTGTCGTAGCAAACACTTCATATATTCTATCTAGATGCACACCTGTCCTATAGTACTTGTGTGGGCCGGAGGCCTGGTTTATCCTTCCATGTCTGTGTTTCTGTGTTTCTGTAGTTGAGATTATGTTGCACCCTATCTAGGTATGCTTTCCTTATATGCTGTGTCTAAATGTCTGGTTTATCCTTCCATGACTGTGTTTCTGTAGTTGAGATTATGTTGCACCCTATCTGGGTATGCTTTCCTTATATGCTGTGTCTAAATGTCTTAATGTACTTTTGTTTCTATCGGTTCATTAATGTTTCCGTGATGAGGTTGTGTGGTTACTACGCTCGTATACTGTCTAGCTGGGAACAGCAGCAAGGATCAAACTCCACAGCCAGATGGAGTCGAACCGGTGACCTCGGCCGTATAAGCCAGATGCCTTTACCACTGCAACTGTGACCTGGTGTTCGTAACTAGCCTCCTGTAGCTACCTTCCTTTTTTACTGTCTCTATACTTGTTACCATGGTGACGTTTTCATAAAACAGTTTCTCTCCTTTTTCCTTTGAAAAATCAGGGAAAGAAAAGGCATTTAAAGTCACCTCCAGAGGTGGCCACAAATGCCAATAACTACCACAGCTCTGCAGGAGGTTAAAAAAAAAAAAAAAAAAAAAAAAAAACGTATTATATTGGTGGTTGAGGGGTCACTGTGTGTTCCCAACCCCCTCTGCAGGCCACTGCGATAGCAAATAGTATTCTGGTGGTTGAGAGGGCACTGTGTGATTGTTAAACCACCAGTATACGGCCCCAGCCTTGCAGTCCGAAACTTGTCGCCACAAGAAAACGAGGGCCTTGGGCACAGGCAGAAGAGGAAAAGAGAGTTTGAGAAGCTGGAGGAGGACCTCCAGGCCGCGAAACGAATTGGAGTTCCCATGGACGAGGGTGCGGGTAAGGCGGAGATCGATAAGGTTTTGTCAAGAACGGACCAGAAGACGTTAGGCGGCATGGTGTCTGGTCGAAAGTGGAAGGTGGCAGCAACTACGCGGACCTCAGCATTGGGCAGATCAAAGCCGTTGCAGACGTCATGGGACGAGAAGATGCGCCAAAAGGATGTGAAGAAGATGTTCCAGGAACGGAAGTCAGCGCTGAAGGAAGATATCCGCAGCAGAAAGCAGGAGAAGCGGCGAAAGAAGAGGAGTTCATGAAAAGAAAGGAGGAGCACACACTCAAAAGCACCCCTGTCCAGAAGATTTCAAATCCGAAGACAATTAAGAAGATGATGAAGTCCAAGAACAAGCGAAAACAGCTCCAGAAAGTCGCAGAGTGATGGTGCTGTGACGGGCAGACAAGAATGGAAATTCCCAGCGTCTCTCGTCATGCCTGCTCCATGCTAAAAACTCCGTAGATTAAAAAAAAACAGATCTTCTTTTACGACACCTGTAACTTTGCTATGCCATGTGGATTGGGAAAAGCAAATGGAAAAAAGGCTTTGTAAACAAAAAAGGACTTTTCAAAAACGAAAAAATAGAAAAGAACTGGTCTGAGTTTTTTTTTTTTTTTCTGCAAAACATGTGGTGTGAGTTGATAAAGAAAGTGTGACAAGGGTAGGACCCCTCATCATTGTTTTCCGGAGTTCCGCTAATGGTGCCAAACGGGCTGGGCCCGTCAGCACTTGCAACAGAATAATGAAATGGGACTCCACAGATTGCACTGGGGAAGCACTTTTGAGAAACGATGGGCAAAGCACTTGCGACAAGACCTGATTTCTCCTTCATCATTGGCTGTCTTGCCTGGACTTCCAACGCCCACTACGGGGACAAACTCTTCCGTGAACACTACTGCCACCTCCTGTTCACCTACTAGAATTTTTGCAGTGTGGATTGCCTTAAATCACCAGTACTTGCCCCAGCTATCGATGCCGAGCCGGCCGACCCCCTGCGCGCCAAGTTTCCCCGAACCACCGCGGCGCCATTCTGACTTTGTTTTGGCTGGCGATTCCAGCCTTTGAGGTCTGGGACCCCGAAGCCTGGAAGTTGCGGGCCGTTAATGACAACGGCCCGCGGTCGATGTATGGGCCAAATACCGGTGGTTTAAAGCTGCCACGTTTTTTATCACCCACTAGCCATCCCATCACAATCTGGCGCACCTACGTTTTAACTGGGATTATTATCGATTAAGTCAGACCCTGCTATGACTTCCCCCTCCTCTCATATTGTTGAATGGTCCAATTAGCGGCAGATGAGAGGAACAGGGAAGGGTAAGGAAGCTAGGGTTTCCATGAGCAGTTAATCCCCTCGTGTGAGGGCAATCAATGCTGCTCATCCGTAAAAAGTCAGAATCTGCGCATATACTACAAATACTTGCTTGTTCAAGCAAATGATCACAATGCTCAGGGACGCTGGACCCGCTTCCCAGCAGGTGTTGCTCCCCACCAATAGATGGAGCCTCCCCGACAGTGTTAGTGGTGTTTGCTCTTATCAGCACCCCTAGCATTAGCTCGGGTTGTTTCTTGTAAAAAAAAAAAAAAAAACCTGGCGCCACTGCACCCCCCGGAGAACTGTGGGGTCCGTGTTTTACTAAAAATCCCCGATTGTAATGGTGTGGGATCATAAGTAAGCTAGGAAGATTGTCACACCCGGCCTGGCAGCCTGGGCGAGCGGGAAAATAAATAAATAAAACAAAATAAAATAAAATGAGCTTTCTGCGCTCTCCCAGAGGACCCCAAATCCGGCTCATTTCTCTTTTTGAGAGTTGGCTGTCAAAAGGGGGGAAGGGGTTATAAATTGGTTTTGAAGGGGCTAAAGCAGTGTCGTCACCTAGTAAGGGGACGGCCCGTCCGTACTCCCGTACGACCGTACGTACAGGCCCTCAGCGCCCGTA